GTGCGCGACGTGCAGGGAACGGGAGCTGGGAGACAGTGAGAAAAGCGAGAGTCGAAGAGGAGAGAGGGCCAATGAAGAGGATTGAAGCAGCTCGGGAGATGGTAGGTACGCGAGCGACCGTGGAAACGAGCAGGACTATGGTTCGCAGTTGCGACGTCGACGTCGTTGAGGACGATGGTGCGGCGATAGGAAACGGTGGAGATGGCGGCGGCGCCGATGGTGGTGCAGACTCGTAGAACGGGGTTGAATATTCATTCGTGTTACATATGGATCAGCTCTGAGCGGCATGGCTGGAACGAGCTAAGAGGAAGAGAGCGTGGCTAAACGTTCGAGAGAGGGTGGTGTGCGCCGCCTACGGATTCCAGCTAAGGGCTTGAATATTGCGCCCTCGTCCTCGTCCTCGTCCTCGTCCTCGTCCTCGTCCTCGTCCTTGTCGTTCGGCGACGACAGCCGAGCCAGGTGCTGCGGTCGCCTGCGAAAAAAGAGAATGATCGCGACCGCTTCTGCCCGAGTACCCAAAGGTATGCTTTGATAAGAACAGTACTTTCGTTCGCCTCGTTGCGTCACAGAGTTAACACATTAACGGGATTAACATATCGCGCAGGCATTGATTAACGTTTTCCAACGAGCTTCGTCAGACGTACAGTCATTAGACCGTGTTTCGACACGTTGGTCTTAGAAGGATATTGAACCGTTTCCTTTGTGTTTCTTTTTTTGCTATTTTCACGCTCAAGTGAAAGAGGTCTCTACACATCAGGACGATGAATATTTGCGTTTTTCAAGTTGCAAACAATAGTATTTTATTAGTTATTTTAATAGAACTGATATCATTTATCTTAATTCGTACGTGAGTAATTGTACATAATTCGTACATGATTCTCAATTTTCATTATCGTTGTCCTTTACGAATGAACGTTATACCCAACAGTTTGTACAAGATACTAGACACTATAATGTTCATACGCGATAATTTTTAATTCATCAGCCACTTTTGTTACGATTAAACGGCTGATTCCAGTCTGTCTGATATCTGAAAATATTCATCAGCCGCACAGTTAAAAGCGCAGTTGGCGAGAATAAGAAACGCTGGAAGCAATCGACCCTTGGCGGTAACACGAACGAATTCGGAATTCGACCCTTATCGCCGTTGAACGCGGGATATCTTCCGGCGATATCGGAGCCCGCGACGTGTTCCCCCTTTTCCGGCAAGAATTCCTGTTCAATCGCCAGGCGAAAGAAACCGAGCGAACTTCTATCTGCCAGTGAATCAACCTTCGGAAATATCGCCCGGAATTGCTCGCCCCGCCGACGATTACAGGAGTTTCCTGTGGAAAATAATTTTTGTTTGAATGCTCGCGAGGATCGATCCGCGCGGCAAGGGGGGAAAAGGGGGGTGGAGGTGGAGAACGCGCCGGCGAAGGAGCTCACGGCACTCGAGGGGGCTCGAAGGTTTTAGTGGAAACGGTTGAAAGTTGGGGGATCGTTGCAGCGTACGCGCGCGCTCTCTCGCGCCCCCTCCCGCGAAAGAAATTTATGGCAGTTCGGTGAGACTTTATGCGATCTGCTCCGAGAAATTGTTTTATGCGCTCCGGCTCGCTGATACCGTCGACTCGTAGACGTACACGCGTGTACCTTTCCACCATCAATTACCGAGCTGTCTCCAAGCGAAGCTTCGCGGATATAGGAGTAACGTGTCCCTCTCTTTCTCGCGCGTGACTTAACGACTAACGAAAAACGCGGATGGCTGATTTACGTTGTCACGCGTTCAAAATCAGAGGCAGTTCCTCTCTCGCAGATTTCGCGGATCTTTCGATATTCGACGCACGTGTTTCTTATCATTCAGCGTATCGTTTACTTTCTACATCGTACATGCTTTTAAATATTCATAAAGGGGAAATTGTCTGAAAACATTGGAATCTAAGCAGTCACAGTTTATGAGAATAATTTAACTCTTTGTATCTTGAAGATGTTGTTTAGAAGCATTGCTTTATGTAAATACTTGTATCACTTCAGTGTGACAGCAATGTTTCATGAAAAATGCTCAGAAAGGACGTGAAATAAATCATTTAATTCTGGGTAGAAAGAGTTCTAATTGAACACATATTTTTCAACGAGAGAATTGGTTTCTCGTTGAGAAGGATGATTGTAAACCGTAAGATGATCGTGTCGAGAAGTTAGTAATAAAAGGAATTTCATTCGTTGGTATTTCCTTCAAGAGAAGGTAACTTACTTACATTAACCGACCCTAATATAATTTCCCCGAGACCTCCAGTACGCCGATCGACGGTTCCCTCTTCACTCGGCGAGAGAGATGCATCTCGCGCGATTAGTTTCCACGAGGAGAAGAGTAAAAATACGGCCGATGACTCGTGGACGCGTTGCGCAACGTCCCCCTGGCGCAATGAGATTATTTATTACCAATATTTTTCTCCGGCGTGTTTCCGCGTCGTCATTTGTTTCGCGCCGCTGCGCGAACGGAGTACAGGACGTTTATTTCGAACGAGTTTTCACTGGGTTTCTTACGTTCCAACGATCGTCCGCGTAGCTCTCTCTCCCTCTCTCTCTCTCTCTCTCTCTCTCTGTCGTCATTCGTGTCGACAAAGGGGATCGCTGGTTTCCTCGAATCGAGAAAAGACGGAAGAAGCCTCGCGGTATTCGCGGTATGCGGTGCGCCGGTTTGCTTTGTCCGAATTTTTGCGCTCATTTATCTACACATCCGTTCTCCGATCCCCGTGGTTCCCTTTTCGTAGGGACCATCGTCGACGCTCACCATCCCCTTCTCGTCACCGGTTTTCATTTCTGCAGCCAGTACGCGCGTCTGACGAGCCTCGTTCATCGTCTCGCTCTCTCTTTCTCTCGCCTTTCCCCGCTCGAGACCGAAATGCCTTTGTTTTTGCTGACTACCTTGGCGATAGTGTCCTAAGCGCGATTGCAATTTTCAGCCAGGGATGTTTTTTTCCCCTGCCCGCTCCGTTCCGCTGCCTCCACCGAGTCTTGGCCGATTTCGTCGCGCCCCCATCCACGAAAATCCCACGTTGGCTGGCGAATTTTTTGCGTTAATGCTTCCGGAAGGAACTGCCGGATCGGCCTATCTTTCTACCCTTTGTAGCCGGTTTCTTCCTTTTTTTCCCCCTCCCCTTTCTTTTTTTTTCGTCCCCCTCTCTCGTCCCTCGTGGAATTTTCGATGAGAAATTCCTAACGCGGCGAGGGTCGGACGGAAAAAAATGTGATTGCGGATGCTAGTTGCGGTTTCCGTTGTCGGAGGAGCGTTCCCTTGTGAAGGATTACTTTTTTCTTTTATCTTCTCCCCCTTGTCTCTCTCTCTCTCTCTCTCTCTCTCTCTGTCTGTCTGTCTGTCTTCTCTTTTTTTGGCATGCTCGTTAGTCGCGCACTACTCTGGTAGCAACGATTACTGGATGCGAAAAATTTCTATAATATCGAGTACTCTGCTTTGAGTCCCTTTCTATTTTTCTCATTTTCTTTCATTTTTTATTTCTTTTTTCTTTTTTTTTTTTGTACGACTACCTTGTCAAAAAGTAATTGCGCACTCTTCACAGTGCATGGAACGCGAACAAAGTTCGTTTGAAGGATTGTTGATTGATTTAATCGACGGTATTCCAGGAGTTTTCAAGGTGAGGTATTTATTACGTGTATTCGCGTAGGATCGGTAAAAGAGATAAGTGGCAAATGTGAGGAGTGGTTGGCTAGGTGTGGCTTTCGAAAGTTGTCGTGATTAGT